CCATTTTGAAATCTGGAGTGCTGAATTTTGTATAAAAAAACTCTTACACACCTCAGCTTTTATCTTATTTGTTACTTTTTCGAATATTCATTTTTGCTCAAACAGGGTGGTCAAAAACGCGAATTGTACGTTTTCTCAACAATGTCTAATGCATCACCCTATATATTTTTGCAAGTTTGGACTTAATCTCTTATAAGTTCTTTTTTTTTTGGTATGAGGTTTGATTCAGATAAAATCACTAGATTTTGAGTTATTAAGCTTTTAATAGAACAACACACCAAAATTAAGGAAAAAATCATCATCATCTATGGAAACAAAAGACAAGCAGAGGGCGTGTTGCATATTGCCACTAAGATTACGGATTGGACGAAAAAACGAATAACAATCAGAACAGTATATGTAAATCAGCTTCAAGCGTAATAGAGAAAAACAACTGTAACAGCAACATAAACAAACAACTATCACTACTCAAGACCTAATCTACAAAAACTGCTCGAAAGTATCTCCACCACTTTGAATACATAGCCGTAGGATAAATGACCGTTGCACATCCCTCAGCATGTGTTCCCTTATGTTCAGAAAAGCATCCTTAACCCTTTCCTTCATATTTTCTGGGGTAGATGGTGGATATCTATAAATCTCTTCCTTAACGTAGCCTCATAGAAAGAAATCCATCGGTGTCATATCTGGTGATCTAGGAGGCCACGCACACGATTATGATAATGCGCAGGTGCGCCGTCCTGTTGGAAGTACATACGCATCCGAGTTTGCAGGTTGACATCCTCCAATAGCAAAAAGGCAAATGCTCGATCAAAAAATAAAGTATTCTGTATCTGTTAATCTTTTGTCGAAAAAGAAAGGCCCGATAACTTGTCTGCCAGTAACTCCTCCCCAAACATTCAAGCTCCATTTATTTTGGAAATCTATTTGCTTAACCCAGTAAGGGTGCTCCGTCGCATAATAGTGCATGTTATGCCTGTTGACAACACCTAGGCTGTTAAAAGTTGCCTCATCGCTAAAAAGAACCTTATCCAGGAAAATAGCATCTTCACTCACTTTATTTAACATTATTCTACTAAACTCCATTCGAGCTGCAAAATACTGAGGACGAAGACCTTGATGCAAGCATAAGTGATATGGATAGCACCTATGCTTGTGAATAATCCTTTGGACAGAAGTTCTGCATATATCAGTTTCTGCTCCAATTTGCCGTGCACTTAAATGGGGATTTTCCTGCAACTTTAATAGAACCTCCAACTGATTCGCCTCATTCGTGATACTTGGATTATTTATACATTTTTTACTATATTCCACTTCGAACACCATGTTCACCATTTCTTCTTTAGAAAAATTCATTTTCAAACACGTTTGTATTATAATGCTCACAAAGCTAATTTTGACAATTTGTAACTAATCAAGAATTTATTTGTTTCCAAGGATGATGCGATATTTTAGGGAATTAAGCCGTTCCATAAAATACGTGCTAATAACCGAAAAAATAGCCGTAAAAACCCGAATGTGTCTAGGATCAAAAAAAGCTTATAAGAAATTGAATCCAAATTTGTACAAATATACAAGGTGATGCATTTTAATTCTTTGAGAAAAACGACTATAATTTGCGTTTTTGACCACCCTGAAAGAGCAAAAATTAAGATTAAAAAAGTATTATTTGTTACTGCTGAGGTGTGTATACTTTTTTGATTCTGCACTCCAAATTTCAAATTTTAGGACTGAGGGGTTGCCGAAGTGAGGGGTTTTTCTAGACAAAACACCTTATATCTCAGTAGCTAATTATCAAAACCCCATAGTATGTTATATCAATTTGAAAAATCACAAGTTTGATATGGAGGTCAAAATTGGGACACCCTGTATAATGGCCAATATTTTAGAAATGTGCCCTCAAATGTCATGTATAACATCCCATAAATAGTTTTTCTCGTAATGTATTTGTTTATGAGTAATATGCCGTCCACACATGGATGGGCCACCCTTTATATATGTAGGTATACTTGAAGCCTTCACCTGCGAGGGATTCCAATTGAAGCTCGACACTTGAAATTAATTTCAATGTCGGGTGACCATCGTGCATGATCTGTTAAAACAAATTCGACATTACTATGATAATTTGGTTACGGAAATTAGAATCAGGATGAGAATCGTGTGTGGAAATCAACATCAGTGGTCTAAATTCAGTTAGAACCAAGCCCCTGAATAATAGTGGTAGCTAAAAGATATCCCAAATTCAATCCTCATATGTTTCAAATACTGTTTATTGTACTACCTTTCGGACATAAGGCTTCGGTTTCAGATATTAGGAATCGCAACTCCATCAGGCGAAAGCTACATTCAAAGCCCTGTGTCAAGCCTATGGAGTCTGATTAAAGAATCACGGCTGGGTACAATGCCTTAGACCGTATATATGTGGGATCTATTCATCTATTGATCCATATGGGTCGCTGTGGCGTTAAGGCCAGCAAGCCTTTTATCCTTGCAACAGTAATTGAAACATGGGTGGGTTGAGTTAACGGTCACACAATGGAGTCCTAAAAAAACTATGTTTTCTATTAAATTCAAGTCTTGCATATCTTTACGTATTTTTCTTTAAATTATTTTTTTGAATTAATCGTAAGGTAGACAGTGTATAGAGTTACGAACTATATAGCCCATCAGGTAAATCGGCTTTGCTGACACAGAAACATCCTTTTGTCAAAGTTTTCCATGTCGACTTTGCTTAAACATGGGTGAAGTTCCTGAAGGAAGGGGAGTAGGATGAGCTTTGTTCGAGAAGGTACAAAACACCAAATTACTGGGTCTCTAGGCAACGATAACCTCATCAGAGAGGACCTTGTTACTAGTGTTCTCTCTAGCTCAACTGTAAAGGTCGGTCTGGCATTATGAATGTCTGCGTGTAATCCAAATCCTCCCCCTGGAGGACATTTACTTTGATTTTAAGAGATGAAAAAGAGGCCATAGATCATCCTAGAAGAGCAGCATACACAGCTGATCGAATGATTTAGAAATATCAAAAGCAATGATGACTGAATTGGGCTTGCTCCACGTTTGGGGTGCTGCCGCCCCGACTACATTATCCATGCTCGGCCGATACGACCACTCCTTTGTCCAGAGGGTGTCGATATTGTGGAACAATCTACAAGAGGAAGCTTTTCCCAGTTCTATTAACCTTAGGCAGTTCAAAAATCGTATTAATAAAATTTCTTTGGGATCATCATAGCAGCCGCGGTGTTCCGGCATTTAGGCTTCTGCCTGTGCGGCTGCTTCGATATAAAAAAAAACCATTGTGGTAAGGTCCCTAGTTAATTTGTGATATTGAAATCAATCATACCTATCGCTGTGGTATTGGATATACAGGGTGACTTGTTGAAGTTGAGTCATTTATTTTAACAATGAGTAGATCTGATCATAAGAAATGTTTTTTTCCTTTACCATTTTTCTGGTAAAATTAAAGTAACAAAGTTATAGCCCTTTGGAGGTTTGAGTACCGCCCTGTCTCAATAATAATATTATAGTATGTGCTCGTGCTTGGCAACAACGGATATAATCCGCCTTATCGGTTCATCGCAACGGAAACAAAAAAGCGAAAGAATTTGGAACGATGTTTTTACAATTATTTTATTCAGTTGTATACAGTCAGTGTCAGTCGGTAACGCGTGAGTGAATAGTTATGTCTGTTGCGTGGCTCAAACGAAATCAAAAATGGCACATGTTTACGAAAATGCTGAACTTGTGGACATGATTCTTATTTACGCGGCATCACGGATTTATGCGGATCGGTTTCCCAATCGAGTGCAACCAACCCCTCGTGCCTTTGTTAATGTAGTACAAAAGGCTCGTGAATCAGGTGACATGCCGGTGCTCCAAGACCGCACGATCAAATACAGGTCCGCACTGAAATACTTGTCGGGAGGATACTTTATAAAACAAGGTAACATTTTTTTTTAATTTTTTTTTATTTTTACACACATATTTTGGTTTATCTTCCTTCTACAATCATTATCTGAAAATTAATGACTCAACTTCAAAGTCACCCTTAGAATGCCATATCCCCTACAGATTATTTATCAATGTTTGCAATCGCAACGTCACCTACCGGATGTAGGACAGTAATATTTGTGCAGGTATCAATGAAGTTATTAGACATTTAGTCGATATGAGGTTAAGATCAATTTGAATGTCAACTTAGAATTCCATTTTGATCTGACGATGATAGCGAAATGATTGCAGTATTGTCAGGCCTCAGTGGACCCCATGACATGAGTTTAACCACAGATGCAACGCATTCATTGCGCTATGCCTTAGCTCCTGACACATAGATTGATACCAAGTCGCATTTTCTGAGCAATGGCGTTTGTTGTTCCATAACCTAAATCGAACCGAATTAATAGCAAGGGACTCAAAGGCGGACTTAGGAATATGTCTAGAGTGGGCGTAGTCGTAGCATTCATGTTTAGGAAAATATTCATTTCAAATTGAAGAGCGGAGGGAGGCCAGCGGCATACTTGAGCACTCACGCAGCGCTTCTGAGATCAAATGCCCTTCTGGCACTTGAAAAACGGAAGTGGAATACGTCTAGGGTAGCGATTCAGGTATAGGTTGGTAATTGTTACACCAATATTCAGCAATACATGTCATTTTCTTGAAAAGTAATGGCAACGTGACAATTAAAGAGCGGGAATGGGATACGTCTCACGACTCAGGCCTAGCAAGGTAATTTTTACACCAAGACCCAGCAATATATACCATAATCTTTAAAAAAAAATACATAGATAAAGACATAGATAGCTTCAATGTTTCGTTGTGAACAATAGTGACTGCTGTTAGTATTGTAAAATAGAGACGTCTTTAAGTCCCAGTCGCTCTAGGCCTCCCATTGACTTTACAGGCCCCCCTACAGAAAACAATTCCTGAAATGATCTGCAACTCTTGTGACACTCCCATATTTCTTTTTTTTATACTATTCAGCTGGCAACGTTGTGTTGCGCGCCGATATCAACGCTCTCCGCGAGCGAAGCGCTTCAGTGCGCTTGATGCAATCGAAAGCGTAGTGCTCGATCCGCAAACAATCGACTATCGGTCCGTGACGGTGCAAACGGCCTACTTGGTCGTTGAAGTGCTGCTTAACGTCAATTTGAATTTTTTGGCGGGAACCCTGAAGGTGCATGGGGAGGACTGTGGTGTGCAAGAATAGGACCAAGGATATTATGTGCGTCAACCATTATACGATGGTGCCGGCCGTCGTGGAACTCGTCGCCAATAAGGGCAGAGACACTTACGCCGGTCTGGTGCAGGAGTTAACATGCTTCAGATGCTGGAGTTTTTCGGTAAGGAGTATATCATTTTTTCTGTAACGAGCATCTGTGGAGAACATGAAGGATCGGAGAGGTCACACAACTTGGAAACCAAGAGAGTTATAGAAATATCATCAAAAATATTATAAAAGAGGTTACTGGTGGTGGTTCCTATCGTGTGTAAAATTTAACGGCGGCTTACGTTAATTTGTTTGTCTCTATCCGAAGGTTTCTTAGCATAAAACTAAAAACTTTTGATGGAATAAATATATACAATTTTTAGCGTATGTTTCCTTGTTATTTGGAAAAGTCAGGGAAATTAACGAAGTGGCAAGGAATAAAACTTGCAAACGCATTAGAAATACTTTGCAATGGCTAAATCGCCAAATTGTCCATCTAGAATTCTGGAATTTGTGGGTTTGACTCGACTGATCGCTAGTTTTGACTTTTCCAACTTTGATTTTCAGTGACCCTCAAGGGCCGATAAAATACAGTGAAAGCTGAAGAAGGCTCTCCTCATTTATCAAAAACCAATATTTTTATGAATTTGTTGGTGTAACTCTGAAATACCAGAGAAATAAGGGATTTTTTTGAAAAAAAGCCATGGGGATCATAAAGTTCATATTATGTTTGCTTAAGGACGGACCCATAAGGGCCGAAATTGAGGCCTACGCGTGGAGCGAGAAGAACCTTTATTCTCAAAATCTCTTCAATGACGTTATAAGAATATAGACACTGATTCGTGACGTTTTATCTGGTCAATAATTAAAACAACATTTAAAGCTTTGTATGTAGTTTTAACTATTGACCTGATAAAGCTATGATAAAACCATAAAACGTTACACAGTTAAAAAAAATGTTAATTCCTCAACAGCATAACGCCTCTTGCTCAGAAATTTATTAAAATACGAACTTGGATTTCACGTTTCTTTAAGACTATTAATGTAAAAAAGAAAATGATATAAGTAGTAATTATTGACTAATGTGATAAAGGTTTGATTTATTCGTTTTGGAATCAAAACACTTCCAACTCGAATGACGTCGGGGTTTCACCATTTAAAATCACCAACTATCTAGGTGAACAGAACTATCTGCAACTGTAGTTGCCAATTTGACTGTGTAAAAAACAGAACATTACATATACCAAATCACTGCGAAACCCCGCCGAACGATGACTATTTTTCAGATCTGTTATACATCAAGTTGAATATTCTGTATTCCACCTTATTTGAAACTTGTTAGTAGAGAAAGATAAATGACAGACGGTCTCAATAATGAGCCCAGTGGAACACCAAAGCTAGTGTGGATATAGGTCTAGTATTGACTGAATTAGAAGTATAAGAAATTACATTAAAGTAGCCTGTTGTATTATGCAGTGTGTTCCTGGAAACTATCCAACAATTTCCTTCTTGCAAAGTATTTTTACATTATCATTAACATAACCTTCACGCGTGGGTTTCATGCAATATCTTAGAAGCCGCATGACACGAAAGGCCATGGAATTTTTCTTTTTCAAGGAAAGCTATCGCTAATTTCAACATTGAACGTAGATTTGCATGAAAGTTATTGAATAATGTCGATTAAATCATGATTTTCTCACGCATTAATCAATGTATCTCACACCGAATGTCGGTGAACTTATCGTTCAACTAGTTTTATCTACAGTACATGCAAGTCGAAGTTTGGATCTAAGATAAAAATCAGTTATTGAGATGGTCATATCAGTTACAGCATCAGCAAAAATGATTTTATGGATAGGGCACTGGTGCTGAAATTTTAGTATATGTATATTGGTTTATGTATTCAAAATCTGGGACGCTGTAATTGCTGTAAACATTTCCTTTACATGCAATTACTGTGCAATTGCTGTAGATATTACTACTTACATAAGAAATAGCTATTATTCGGGGTAAAAATCGTAACCTCTAACGAAGCGATTAGTAAATTTATGTCTAATAGTAATAATAACATCCCAACAATAAGAGTAATTAAATTTATCTGCAATGTAACATAAATCACACATGCAATAAAATCTTGCACTATAGCGATATGTATAGAACGCTAGTATCTCTTCCTCAATAAAAATGTCATCTGCTCTTATCAATATTATATTATGCGATCGGGCAAAGTCCAGGATTTTCTAAACAAACGTTGTGATAGCAATGCTGTAAAACGGCTCGATTCCAAGAATTGGATCTACCATGGTACAAAGTCTAGTGTCATGTAGAAAACTCAATGATATATATTTGTTTACAGCCTTATACTAATTATAATCATTTTATCAGAGTCGTTAATACGTTTTTATGATTACCGGATTAAAAATACATATCTTAATGCTTTTACTATACATACGTTGTAACAATAATGATCATATAGAAATTCTGAGACATAATAATGGATATTTCCGATAAGAGCAGGTCGATATTGAGTTGGATTAAAACAAGTCGTATGTGAGGTGCTAATGACATTATTTTTTATCTAAAAGGGATTGTTGCATAGAATATGACATTGCTGAAAATATGCCCGCCTCGAACTCTTAGCGTCTCCTTTACGTCGTTGGATTCCCACTTATTGAAAAAGACTAACTATTTTCATCTCTCCAAAATTTTAATGTGGTGAAACCGCACGCTCTTAGTGGCTGATTCACTCTGTCTAGACTTTTTTATTAGATGATTTGACTACAGGTAATAAAATTGTAATTGCAGATAGGATAATATTCCCGGACATATAAATCTGGCTCTCATTTACAATTTTTAAAGCTCTAGAATCAAGATCATTACATAATTATAACTTTGCATTTGTTGTTTTTTTTTTTTGGGATGAATTTTTTATCCTTAATCATATTTAAATGCGCCTGAACCGTTTGAAATAATGTGAAAATGTTAATTAAAGACGTTACAAACGAAAACAATTGGTAATGGACAAATCATTCAATATGTCGAGCGTTTCAATGCATAATTGAAAAAACAACAAGTACAGGACAAACTCCATAGTCTGTGCATATATAGAACCCGGACAGCTATGTGTAATATTTGAATCACCAAATTCTAGTCAATTACCTACTAAAAATGTATCGAATGTAGAATAATGGATCAGTTTAGCTTAGCTTTGTTTTTGATGCGGTCGTATTAGGTTAATTAAAGGTAACCTTGACCCTATCCTAACAGAACAGGCATTCTGCCTACTCGAGTGATTGCTGCAAAACATTTGTATTGTCAATAACCACAACTTTACTATGTTTGTTCATTTGGGGGAATCAGCATTCATTTATCGGTATAAATATAAGTTACACATACTACATGCATTGAACTACGTGTTTCTGGTTTACTTGTTCCTTAGTTCAGATCAATTGAAACATAGTAACGCTCAGGTATAGAGTTTTACTTCATAATCTAAATAGGAGGCTTTTCTGAGGTCACCTGATAAACATGTAGGAAGATTATAGTCGTGCAACATCTATACAACCTTGTTATAGTGATAGAGATTGCACGTACATTAGTACGTGCTAGCAATTATTTACTTGTGCTAAATTATGTTCTGTAGTTCACTGCCTACTTTCAAATGGATTTCATGTAAAAATTATTTAAGCTCGAAACTGTATATCTAACACTCAAAGTAAGCAACCTGCTCACTGCTGTGAGAACCTGACCATGAATCAAATATTGAACTGACAAAGTAAAAGTTTGCTACAAAAAAGAAAATTAGAAAACCTTACCGAAGAATTTATGTCTCGTGAAGAGCCTAGTTGCAAGGAATGAGCCTTTGCCATCAAAGCTGTTCTGGTACAGATCGGATTCAATACAAACATAGTAAAATATAGATAGTATCTTCTAATAATCGATTATTCTTTCCTTATTATCGATTTTTAATAATCATAATAATCGATTTTTAATAAATCAATTATATTATTGTTTTTGTAAACAGCGTCATCTCTAAATTTGAGTGCCAGAAATGTTGGCAATCCAATACGATACCTCCGCATAACAGACGGTCTGTGCCACCGAATGCACTCAAGCTCGCTCAGCTAGCAGCCAGAATACATCCGCTCATCTCTGGCCATCCGCAATTAAACCAGAAATGAGCGGATGTATTCTGGCATCTCGTAGCTGAGAGAGTTTGGAACTCGATGACAGACCGTCTCTTACGCAGATGTACCGAATAGCGGCTAATTCAGAATCATCTGTTTCGTCAGGAGCTGATGTCGAAAAAAAATTCTGAACTAGACCTACATATTGCGGCACCATTTTCGAATCTCACGGCAGAGCCTCACCTGAAGAAACTTTTTATAAGCTACCCAGATCAGCTTTAAACCACTTCTGTGATGGCAGTTACAGCTTCAGTAGAAAGATTATTTTTCAAAGTGAAAAATATACTTAGTTTTTTATTGTGTAAACTTAAAACTTATTTTTCTGGTTTCGATACCATAATGTTGTGATGTTTGTGTTTTTATACCCATCGTTTATTATTTTCATTCTAGTCAAATGTTAAATGGCATTGGGTTTTCCTTGTTGTACTCGTCGTCTTTTTGTTTTATTTTGATTAAAATAAAATATTTAAACTGTTAACATTTGTTTTTGTTTTTCACTTTTGAAACCAGAAGCTTGTCGTTTTGGTTATTTTTATACCCATCATCTCATTTGATTTTATTCTGATAAATTGCTAATGTTGATCTCTCATTTTTATTGTTACTATATAGTGTTTGTTTACTAATAGAAAAAAATTTATTATTTTTTTCCTTTGATCGGTTTTTTCACACATTGTCACATCCCTAGTCGCTTCCAGATTCCTAAAGAAATCAGAACAGATGATCGCGTAACGGTATTATCCATTAAGGCAAATGCTGGTAGTAATTAACAGCTGCTAATTAATATATTAAGCTGGAAATGGAGCGACCGGTGAGATGCTGACCTTTCGCATATTTTTACGATCTCAAGATTTCGTTCCCAAATAGGAAATAGCGTACGTCATACTACGTGGTCGGTCGAGATGTGCTTTGAATTCGCAAAATGTTCAAATCACTTGCGTAAATCCAGTTTTCGATCGTGCCCTTAATATGGCATCTGTTTCATCTAAGATGAATGGTTTGACGGAAAAAGTTCGATATTATAAATCCATGACATCTGTGTTTGTAAAATGAAAAATATAGACGGCTTGATCTCTTCCATTCTGGGTGATTAATATTGCTTCGATTGCGATTACATACGATCAGAATTGATGGAAGTAACATGTCCATGTAGATTGGGATCCAAAGTTTTAAAAAAGCAACGATTATTATGTCTCCTTACTGTCTTTTCTGCATTTTCTATTATTAATACGAACTTTGGCATACAAAAATAGCACCTCCCACACATTGTTATGCATACCGCAAACAAACAGTATCAAATGATTCCAATGTCGTTCACTAACTCATAAATACCTTTTCTAAAGTGTCATTAGCATTTACGTTGTGTTAATAGTGTAAATGAGAACAAATAAACAGATATCTACGTATTATTTAAATAATGTTTTGTAATGTACACACGACACAATAATCGGAAATCATGTCAAACAAATCGTTATAATGGGAAAAATTCCGATTTACGTAAACATTCGACCTACAGATCGGATGCACAAGCGAAATCGTGTGACTTGTTGAAGGAAACTTTTTTAATTTGAGTAATTTCTGTTTAATAATCCGTAATATTTTCCAATAACTTATTTTAATATATTCTTCTTTCATGCGTAGCTCTTCTAATGTCTGCACGTGTGTGATGTGTGTAATAACTAAGAACCTCTAAAAATTTGGCAAGGTTCAGTTTACGCTATACTCTGGTACCGAAAAGGAAGAGAGCAGCAAAACACAACGCACGTCACTGCTGGCGCGGCGTATTTTTGAAATTAACATCGACTTTGCCGCGCATCCCGCCGTATTCAAAGAGACGCCGCGCTTGCAGTGGCGTGCGATATATGCCGCTGCCTCCTTCCTTTTCTGTTTCCGAATATATTCCACTACCTAACCATACAAAAACAATAAATACGAAAATTGATCAGTGTCCATGACGCTACTAATATAAAAATATTAGACACAAGTAAGCTAATGACTCTGACATATGAATTAAAGGACTTTTATTAACAAAGTAAAAGAAAACATTTTTGATTTAATCATTAATAATCAAAGTGTGTATTTTCTTTATTCAGTATAATAAAATATTATAATGAATATAGTTCAGTTCAAGAAATGGTAAATAAAATTCAAGCATTCTAAAATATTAACAAAAGATACAAACAACATCAAATAACGTTTATAATGAAAATGGAGAGTAGTGAAAATAATACTGTTGACACTAATGGTAAAAAGTAAATATTCATGAAATTTTCGTTAATGAGTGGTATAAATACGTAAAGATTGTTTTTTATCATTTGCCTTATTGCTTTATTGTCAGTGGAAATATTCTAATAATGAACGTGTTTGCTTTACGGCATTTCTTCGCACAATTGAAAAAAATATTTTTGATAAATATCAGTAAACTGCTCTAGAATTAGACAAAGGCTGTTGGGAATGATACATTAGCTTTTTGGCATTGTTTCGTCTACTATAAACTACTTTAAACAGAATCGCTCAATTACTGACGAACTGTGTGAATATGTTGCAATTGAAGCTAATCATTATATCCGTCCGTCTCGAAACAAAAAATTTATCCGCTTCAGTATTCGATCATCTGCATTGTCTCCGATAAAAGAATTGCTTCTAGAATAGATTCAAGGATACATGTAATTTTTTATCTCTACCCACACTGGTACATATAAAATAAGGTGTAATATTTCTTATTCATCCATTGTTACAAGAGTGTATTATGTAACGAAAATATTGTGAGAGATACCTCAGAGGTATTTATAATATAATCACTTTGATTAGCGATAGTAATTAGTGTTATTTTTCAGATAATTATAGACTAGCGCAATGAGACAGAAAAAGTCTTAAGTCAACGGATCTAGATTATTAAACCTCAAAGTAGGAAATCATATTGAAAAATTCTTCTCGTTTTGTTCCAGCCTAGTGAAAAGGATATTGAGGTAGCTGGTCTATGGAAGCATTCGAAAACTGTACGTTCTCCGTCCCCTCACAATGCCTTCAAACGATGGCGGATGAAGTCAAATCTAAAGGCTGAACAGAAGAACGGATTGAATGGTTCTAACGCAACTGTTCAAAGCAAAGAGAACGAGAAGAATAATATGTCACTTATTAACTTTTTGGCCATAGTAAGTATATTTTCTCTACGATATACATAATCTGTCCTACTAGATCATGGAAGAGAACATATCTAATGGTTCGCCACTGTCAACACGAAGTCTTTGTGTACTTGTGCGTGGATCTCGCCTTATTTAAAGAGACATCATAAGACCCCAAAGATGCACGATATTAGTCTATTCTTCCACTTGCGTCTATGTTCTCCTTTCCACTCTCTCACCAATTTAAAATTTAGCATTTTCATCAGGGTGTATTATTTTTTTCGTATGACTGCTAATCTCCCTATTTCTAATTTTCTCACATTGTCATCCATCATTCTGTCAATCAGCTTAACACCTTATCTATTTCCCTCTTCAGCTACAAACTTGACAGCTTATTCTTATTTTTTCTAGTCCCTCATTTCAGGAGTTTACCACCAAAGGTTCGGTAACATTCTTGGTTAAATAGTTATTGGTTCATTGTTTCAGTTCCATCTATCGTAGACCACACTTCTCCTTTACACTCTGACCAATTTTAAATTTGGCATTTTGATTAGGTTGTTTTCTTTTTTTCGAATGACTCCTAATCTCTGTATTTCTAACTTTCTCATTTGGTCGTCTGTCGTTCAGTGTAACACCATATTTATCTCATTTGCTTTGTTTTCTTGATCTCCGAAATATACCGAGCCATATAAAATTAATGTCTATAATCTTCTTTACATATTTTTAAACTTCTACATTACAATCACATCCAGGCATTGAAAGAAATCATCGTTTTTAACTTATCTAATTATTTATCAGCAATAAAAGTATAACTGTGTGATGTTCGTCAGTTCCATATTGTCTTTTTATAACTTGTGCCAAAAATATCATCTCTTTCCTCAGTTTAGCGACCAATCAACTCTTCACGTATCTCGTAGTGTGCTAAGTGACACTTAGCGTGGAGAGGTCGGCTAAATATAGACTTTTTATTGATGAATATCCTATAACGATAAAGTCAAGGAACTGATTCCAACGAACATTCACTATATTGAAAGAATCACGCACCGATGACATGCTGAGGCTCTTAAAACGTTTTACGAGATTGCATTGAAACCAAACTCTAAATCTGTTTGTTGATCATAGAGTGGAAGTTCAAAGTTCTCCTGTTGTGGCTGTTTGTTTAGACGCAATTGCATAAAAGGTTGTCTAAACGGATTGACCTTGCTCTTATGTAATTTCAGATTATCCTTAAATATAGACACTAAATTTTAGATTATATCCATGTCTGGACATTCGTTAAAGAAACTTAATATATCTGACTTTATTTTTATAAATAATTAATTAATTAATAAGAGAAAAAACATTCAATAGGTCAAAATCTGTATGACGAAATTTGTTCAACACGAAAGCCCAGTATCCAATAGCGACTATTATATTTATTTCTGCCTAAACCGCCTGTCTCGTGACTGTCTTGATATCTATAACAAACACAAAACATAACATCGAATAATAAGTATAAACGAAATACAATGTTTTTTTGTGTGATTGTTTCGCCGTATTTCCGCAACATAATATATCCCATGGTGTATCTCTGACGTCGACCTATTCTGAATGAGGCCAGTGTCAAGTGTCACTATCATTGGTATCATATTCATGTAACGTCTGCATGAAATACTGATATATCGATATTTCGGAAAAGTACATAACGCGGTTATCACGAAACGTGCCATTTTTCGAAATTTGTTTACTATGATACTGTAAACTATTATTCATATCATGTATGGAAAATATTATAAGTATTTATTGTATTTTAACGTACTAATTATCCTATTATCTACAATACGCTCCTTTTCATAGTACCATACTTCTATTTCATGTCGAGATATTTGAAATTTTACAAAACGTAAGGGTTTTTGTGTCAAAATAAAAATAATGAGTTCAGTTGATAGTTAATAGAACTTATAATTAGGAACTGCTTACACGACATTGCTGTATCTGGCAACGTTATGTCTGTATTCATCTATGTTGGCCAGTCTGAATTACACATTTCCACTTGTTTCGCCATCTCGATGCTTTTATTTTGTGTCTGCTTCCTACTTGAAGAAACATTCCACTTTGTTCTATTAATAATTTTTTTTTGTATCTCTATAATAACTCCGTGATAACGAAATGAGTAAATAATATTGCAATGATAAATTTTATTTATTACATATTAGACTAAACCCGCGGCTCCGCCTGGCTGCAAGTAGTGTAAAGATGAGTATGAAACTCAATATTCAAAGTAATGCAGTAGTTATTCTGGCAATGGACATTTTTATTTAACATTTTACTGCAACAATAAATTAATATCAAATGTATAATCAGAATCACAATAAATAATACGTGAAGTATCTTACAGCCTGTGTGGCGTATCTTAACATATCCCAACACAATAACTATTTATTCAAACTTGATATAAAACAAAATACAAAATAAATCTAAATCAAGATGATCACGCTAAGAAAACGAATGTCTAAATGCAGTAAATAGACTATTCAAATGCTCTATTTATCATTTCGGCTAGATCGCCTCATGCCAAATTCCATGAACCTATTTGGGCTGTATGCCGTGAAATAAATTTTTGCAAAGTTATTTCCCGGGATATAAGCATGTGTGCTATTCCAAACCTTTATCTGTCTATCTCATATTTGTATTTGGTGTCAAATTCTCCAAAATTTCAATTTATCTGATACACATTATTGTATATTGTCATTGATGGTTTCCAATAAAAAAACATTATTTTACAAAACGTAAGATTTGATGTAATAACACGCGACAACAAATTGACAACACCGGAACCAATAATTCATTAATATCTCTTTGACGTAATAGCCTAAGGACGCGGGCGTACCACCGCACCGTACATTTAAAAAAACGCTACCGTGAATTTATGATTAACAAAGTCGATAACACAAAGAGTGCAACGGAGGCTATTTTTGTATTATTGGGGTCAAGTTGAAATGCGTGCACGGTAAAAATCACGTGAAATTATAGCGAATGACGTACACACGGGTTTGTGAAAGCATATATTATACATTGTATTGTAATATTTCGGCTTTCACACGCTTGCAGACGTTCATTGTTAGGAGAGATTTCAATTTTGAAGATTGACTCATCGGGACATATTATTTATGGGCAGAGACCCATGAATTAGTTTTTATGGTCAACCTTTCAACTTTATCATCTATTTGCTCCTGATCAGAGTACATTATAATTTCAATGAAAAAAATTAAAAGATACTTATACGTTTGAGTCATGGTCTATGATTATTCCGTATTTGGAAACTGAAACTCGAAAGAAGTCGCTGCATACAATTCGATTTGAGTCTAGAATTGTTCCGTTACATCGCGCACCATGCAACACACCTCAAGCTTGAAATTGACCTTCCCGCAGTTAACGTGCTACCCATCTTCATATGCTCTTCCAGTTTTCAAATCTGATTACCCTTGTTAACGGCATAGTTGTTTCAAAAGTCAGTCCCAAGGACTATTCGCACTAACCCCTACCAACTGCTATCCGACTCAGTCTACATTCCTGTATTTTACCCGTGGCGCTTATCTCCTATTTTATGTGCTGAAAAACGGACCGCTTTCTACACAATTATATTTATTTAATTTATTGTTCCACGTTTAATCACTTTTTAGCAACGCCTCATGTTCCATACTAGCTGATAGCACCTCAGTCTCATCATTGTCCCCACCTACCTTTATCTAGCTAGACTGAGCATCTTAAGGGCAAGCTTATACTACCTCATAATATGTCTGAAATCAAGCCGGGTATCTTCATGTTCATCCCGCTAAGGTCATGCACGCTTTTACGACAAACCACTTGTTTTCTAAGGCATTCTCTGGAGATGACTAACCGCAAGTGTCTCAAAACACACCAAGTCAGTGGTTCCATCACAAGTCCCGACGGAGAATCTCATTTGTGTTTTGCAGAACATTTTGGCGCTGACTCCCCGCACGTTTCGCAAAACATGTTTACGTATGTCCAGCTGCACGTTCCACTGGACATGTTTCGGTCAAACTACACGTCGGTGAAGCTGTCATTTTGTGGTAACTCTAGAAACACCGTCGTAGTCCGTTTTAAACCACCCCTAATGCCCGGGAAGTGTGAATAAATATTTTGCAATATGCAATATCATTCTAAAATATTTTCGCCAGCCCCCGTATATGTTCGCTTGTAACTTCTTAAAATAAAACTCTTTTTTTAGTCTTATATCCTATCTTTACAGAAAGGTACACTTAGTAACTACTTTTCAAACGACTGAAATCACTAGGTCACTCCAAACATACCGATTCAGTTTGTTCGTGGTACTTTTCGATACAAGAAACACAATTTCTGAATCGCACTAAAGCAAAACCCACGCAGGCCGGTAGGACGAGTGAGTTCTATCCCACTTTCTGGTATTATAAACCGAAAAATTCGCGAATAAATCGGGTTATTGGAGATACCAATAATAAATAGATTCGGACTTTATCTGCGACGTATTCCGCATTAGGGCGCGACACAGAATGTCTTTCCTATTTATGCCTCTCACCCTCCTGTATCTCTAGCCACTTCACATAATATAAACTAAGCAGATGCCTTAATGCATCAAAAGTAAACTGATCATGTATCATGATCATTATCGTTAATGTTTATTACCTCATCATAGGCGGAGGTCTCGATAACAAGCTGCTGCGTAGAATTCGATTTGAGTTAAGAATTGATTCCATTACATCGTAACCATACACCACACCTACAGCTAACACATGCCCTTCCCGCACTTAACGTGTTTACCTATCTCTTCTAGATTTAAAATCTAGTTACTATTGTAATGGAAATCGTATAAACACGGCATAGAATCGCGGCTTGTTTCAAAATTGACATCAATCAATGCGCATGAAGACCAGCAAAGGTTCGAAAGGTGAACGACCAGCCTGTCAGCTCGGAATCCATACATGAACTAATTTCGAAGCCATTTCAGTTCAGAAACTGTGAAATCGATTATACATACGTTACTCTCTGCT